TAAACATTAAGGTATTATAGTATGCAAAATATACTTTAATTTCTCAAAGTGGAACAAATTTTTTAAAAGGATCAGATATCTATTTTTCATATTATAGAGATAATAGAGTTTTTGGAGGACCATTTGTTTGGGCATAAGCCAAATTTTAAAGGATTCATAATATACTAACTCCACATCATAGTGTCACTATTGCATTTTATATACTTTATGGACCAACATTCCCTTCAAATGGATAATTTATATATTCGATTGAAAATAATACACCAATTATTAAATCAACTGCTAGTTATTATGCTTCTAATTCTGATGGGACAAAATACGATAAAGTATATGAAAAAATTATTCATAATACTAATACATTAACAATCACTTGGGAATGCTTTGGTTAAAATAATGAACCAGTTAAGGCGTATTGTGGATTCTATAATTATTATATTGCTGTTCATAATTGCCAACCTTATTGCTTATCGTGTGCAGATTAAAATACTTGTGCTTCATGGAACAGCACTTATGATGTTAATATTGTTAAATTTTCTTAAGCAGAATGCTCAATTAACTAATATTATGATAAAGATTCTGTCGGATGTTTAGATTGCCCATTATCTTGTTTAACATGTACATCAAAAATAAATTGTTAATCATGCTCATCTACTTATACTTTAACTAAATTAGGATGCATTTGTACAATCAATCAATATGAAGATTCAAATCAATGTTTTAATTGTCCGATAGAATGTAATTAGTGTTTAAGTTCTACTTATTGTTTAGAATGTTTAATAACTAATAATAGATAATTCTCAAATGGGTAATGCAAATGTATTGATGGTTATTATCCAATTGCATTAAATCCTTAATGTTAATTATGTCATTAATTTTGTAAAACTTGTAATGGACCTACTTCTAACGAATGTTTAATTTGCAATAATATTGTGAATATTGAAAATGTCGGATCAACCTGTAGATGTCCAGCAGGAACTTATTTTAAAGATTCAATAAAGACCTGTGTTGTTTGCCATTCATCATGCTTAACTTGTTTTAGAACTACAAATAATGGTTGTTTAACATGCGATCCTGCTTTAAATAGAATATTGGAAGGGCTAGAATGTATTTGTGCACCTGGCTATTATGAATTAAGTAATATTTGTACAAGTATACGTAATAATTATTATTATAGGTTGTCCAAG